AAGTACTGTCACATGTAACTGAAGAAACCTTGTCCTCCCATAGTGTTCTCCATCATGCCTAAACGCACAAAAATGGCACGGCATGCATTCCATTTCAACCATCATACATGGATTCCTCTAAGCTACCCTAGGAGTAGATTTCACATGACCAGTGTGCCACAAAGCTTGCAGCCAGTTACAGCCCTCTACAGCCTGTAACTGAAGAACTGTATCAATGTATTAGCAACACAAGTATCTGGGCTTTCCAGAAGGAAACAATTAGGTCCACAAGAGAGACCTGGTCACCCAAGAGATCTGGTCAGCCAAGGGAACTATGGTGACAAAGAAGCCCACTTTCAGACCCAGTGAAATTACACCTTTTAATACTAACAGAAAGGTTCAGGAAAAAATACAATTCTTGGTTGCCATCATTCCTATGGCCGTTTTGCACTGAAGCCCCACCTGAGCTGGGAGCCAGTGGCTACGTGCAGCAGACAAACAGTGGAGGCAGAGGCCAACAGGCATATTTTGTAGTCTAAATGATCGTCTTTTCCCATCATCCTGTTTGACCATTTGCCCTTTTCCTCCTGCAGCCAACCCAGGCATTTTTAAGTTGCACAGAGCAAAGCAATACAGGGCAGGGAAGCTAAGAATGTGCTTACGCTGGTTATATCCCTTTTCCTGGAAAATGTAAGCAACAGAACAAAAAACACACTTTGGAGATCCCTGCCCCTCCTGGTGGATGGAGGAGATGACTTCATAGGGGCTGCTCTCCTTCTAATTTGTCTGAGTATCAGGCCACACAAACTATATATTTTTTCAGTGCAGTGAGGTCTGCTGGGACGCTGGCATTTCCTCCTCCTCATTTACATGGTCTTCCCATAATCCAGCACTGAGACGAGCTGAACTGCACAAGGTCTCCCTGCCAGCTCCACTCAGGGTTGCTTACAGAAGACCTCTGGAGAGTGATGGGAGGTGCCCCCTGCCCTTCTCTGCCTATGAAAGGGCTGAGTGTGTTGCTTTTGCAGCACTAAGCATTCCCACCAGCCCATAAATCAAGTGACCAGACCCCGTCCCAACCTCTGATCCAATGCAGAAAAGCCCAATGCTCTGCACTTACAGCACACGTGGGGTGATAAAGTGTATTTCAACCGAAGCCATAATATCAAAAGAGAGGCGTTACCTCCTGGAAAAAAAGTGTAGCCAGAGTCACACTGGTTCTGGAGCTTGGTTTCCCCATGTTTACACCAAATGACTTGTTGAACTTCATTATATACAAAGTATTTCCATAGATCAGAGGCAGGGAGACCTGTGCAGCTAACGTAAAATAAATTACCGCCCCATGATAAATGGTTCTATTAGCAATCCAGATTGTTAAACTCAGATACAACAGGATGAAGGGAGCACTGCCCCATTCATTCTCCCCGCGGCAGATACTGAGTTGTAAATAGGTTATTTTGTGTGTAAATAACACATTAAAACTCAGCATTAGCTGTGTCTTTTGATAGAGAGGAAATTGTTCCAAATAAATAATCTCGGACAGGAATGTAAAATAAACCAGATTTAATAGTGCATGCCTGCTGCAGCCGTGTTAAACATGACTAAAATGATAAACCCCAGAATATACTAATAGTAAACTATGCTCTGACATCAAAGTAATGAGGCTGTATTTTTACCCAGCTTTAGAAATGCTAAAATTAGTCTTGACAGAGCCAGACATCAGAAAAATGTTTCAAACATAAACACCATCAATTTGGGAACTCGCTGTTTGTGTCACATTCAGGGTGGGGTGGAGAGGGAAAGGTGCATTCTGGATCTTGTTAAAGTCAGACACTTAGCATTTAGGAGAGTTTGTATTTAATTTTTACTACAAAGTGAGAAACTCATCTTCCTAAATATCTCTGCCTTTGAAAGAGTGGCTCAGTTCAGTTTCTCCCAGAACCACACACCTGGGTTTCCTCACACGTGCCACTGTTATTGCAGCACTGGCCTAAAGGACCCAACTTGTTCTCATGTGCTGCTCTGCCCCAAAACCTCTTTCCCCTTTGGAGCACTATGCACTTCTGCACTTAGCAGAAGAGTTTTCTAAACATGACGTGTCTTGAGTGTCCCTTCCAGAACTGGAGGCACCAAAAGTGAGAGGCTCTTTTGCAGACTGGACTACCACCCCTACATGCTGTCATTACAAAGCTTCCACCTCAGTCCCACAAACACGTACGCATACTGAAACAGAAAAGTGCTGACTCCTTGGCTGGCACGATTTATGGGAAAATAGAAAATTCAGAGAGAATTCCTTATGCTCTATGAGAGACCAGTGTCTGATCACCTGATCAATTAGATCTACATAAAAATGCAAATAATAACTCTAAAATGGTAGCTTTAAGACACTAAAAAATACAACACAGGTTGTAAGCTTGAAAGAACTCTTCTCCACTGACAGCATCAACAGGGCTGATCTCTTTTCCTACGGATAGAACTTAACTTGTTCAAGACTGCAAACATTTGGGACAGATATTTAAGCAAGAGAATTGCTAATGGGGAATGGACATATTATTGCAGTGCAGAAATATAGTCTAAATAATAATATAATTAAAAAGGTATTTTTCAGTTATCTAACTAATGCTCAGTTTATTGCTTCAATTACCTTAATTGTAAACAAACCCTTATGAATCTATTCATTTCTACAAGGGAAAAAAGAAAGCCCTGTGATCAGAGAAACATGCCATGTTGGCACTCCATCTGTGTGACTCAGTGGAAGAAGGGAGAAATGTGTTGCAAATTATGTCTTTTTGCCTCCAGAGCACAGCTTGGTGATCTGCATCACGAGCTGAGCTTTGCTGCCACTTTCTCACATGCTAGTACAAAGAGTAGAACCTCTACAATAAAAAAAAAAACAAGAGTTGGTGTTGGAGGGGAATAAAGACATGCTGGTATGTCCACGAAGCAGGGTGGGGAGCTTGGCGGCTCTCCCTTTAAAGCCTGTCTGCTGCTGTTTCCTCCTTGAGCCGAACAACATAATTAATCTCCATGCCTCGTTTGCTTTCTTCTGTAAGGGTATGAGCATAAATATGTATATCCCTGGCCTGTTCTGAAGTAATTACACTAGTTTAGTGAAGCAAATATGTTATATTAGTATGAACACTATGTAAGTACCACTACACAGCCTTTTTGTTATTATCTGCTACATCACATCTTGCAGTTTACTGATGTTAGAAGACAACTTTGGATTAATTTCTCTACTTAGAAGCACAGCACTGTGCCCTCTCAGGAGCAAGTGTTACCACTGGGCAGAGTTCAGACAGAAGCCCCCGAGCCCCAACACACATGTATTACCTGCAGAGCCTGGCGCCTGGAGCCCATCACCAGCTACTTCACTGCTGGCCACTTCAGGTCATTTATTAGCACTTCTCTTCCCAGTGTGATATAGATTTCGCTCTTTACATCTCATAACACAATGCTTTCATCATGCTTCTCCTGACATCTTCAAACAATCCTCCACCCACTTCTTCACTTCCTCTTAATAAAAGGTGAAATATTGAGCCCGTAAATCATTCTTTCCAAAGAGCACACTGATAATGTGACACATAAAACTGGATGCTTAAAAACTAACCCAGTCTCTGGGGTACCGAGCAGGCTGACAGACACCCCAACATGGGGGGGGGACTCTGATTTCCATCACATCTCTGTGAACATGGCACAGCCTGCATCCTCGGCAGAGGCACTCCTGGTGCATGTGCCAGATGGGAAGATGGTATTTATTTGCAATAGCATGTACGCGGGCTTTGAGTTTTAGCACATGATAAAGAAACACTTTTCTTTAGGTATCAAAGTTTACCAAAGTTGTGAACTGATTTGATAGAATATAGAACAGCTGCTTCATTCTGCACAACCAGGTCTCAAGTTAAAGTGTAAATGAAAACTGGATAACAAAGGTGTTGAATAGAAAGGAGAGACAAAGATTTAAGCATTCTGGGCCGGGGTCTGCCAACAGAAAACACAAACTCTCCAGATGAGCTTTGTAAGAGACAGAGGAGGTGGTTTCTCTCCTGAGAAACCACCAAGTGGTGAAGGAAGGGGTGGGGAAGGCTTCATTTTGGGGTAGAATCTGACTAGCAATAAACTATATTTTAAACAACAACCAAAAAGCTGCCTGCAAAGTTTACACAGCTGGGATGTTCCTTTTCACATCCAAATTAGTGCAACCCCTTCTAAGTTTGTCTCCTTATGTCCTGCACAAAAAAGACACCCTGTCCTGGTCCCCACCAGGCACAGCCATCCCACAGCAGGAGCCACCAGGAAGGGTCCTGGCACCACCCTGCAGAACAACTGGCTCCATGCACATGTATGTCAGTAAGGGATGTGGCTTTGTAGGGCAGAATCTTGCCTGCTCCAGGCCTGCATATCCCCAGAACATTAGCATCACATCCACCAAAACTGTGCTTGAAATCATATGTGAGAGCTCCCCTAATGGACTCCAACACCAGCAAGACCATAACCTCACCAGAAATACTATGAGAAAACAAAACAAAACAAAACAAAATCTGATCTCTTTCTGATGTAACCAGAACAGCACAGATGGAAGGGTCTTTATCTCTAAAGCTCTTGCATAGAAGTAGGACCCAAATTCCTCCCTCAGCAGTGACAGATGAAGACAACGCAGTCTGTTTAACTCATTAGAGGGATCACAGCCACTGCACAACACCTTCCCCAAACCCAATAACAGGGTCAGCCCTGTTTTAACCCCTCCATGGAGGAGCAGCTGACACCGCAGCCCTCCACCATGTAGCACCAGTTACCTAGCAGCCCCGGCCATGGGCTCTCTGATGGGTACATCACACCACCCAGCCGCAGGACAGGGCCACATGGTGACACAGCTTCTCCCTCCCATGACCTCCAACGGCTGAGAACCCCAATAAACTCAGCGTGTTCACAGAAGGACAGATGCCACTGTGCTTATTAAATTCTTACAGTCTAATGAAAAACACCCCTGCTGCTTTCAAAGTGTGGAAAACATAAAGTACCTCCTTGTGCCACTGCTGCTCCTGCAGCTGTTAAAGGAGTGGGTTTCTTCCCCGTCTCCGTAAAGCCATCCCCCTCCAGAACCGCACCTTTTCCTTCTTTTTTCCCAGCAGCAGTTGAAGCAGAAGTTTCCATCTTAGACGTTCATCTTCCAGCTCAGCAACCCTGGGGGACATAGAATAAAGCCAGATTCTGGTCACTCACAAAACAGACAAAAAGGAAGCAGCAAAGATTTCCCAGGTTCCTAACTGCAGAGACTCAACCAGTATGGCAGTAAGTCACAGCCAACAAGGGCTCAGCCCCGGGAGGGTGCGAGTGGCTCCAAGCAGCTGAAGACCTTAAGAGATCAGAACCAACACACGTTTTAGCCTCTTTTAGACTCAGGTACATCATAAAGCACATGGGTCTAAAAGGCTTTCCAGGACCGGGAGACAGGTGAGCTGCTAAAGCTTAGCACGTGAAAAACTGTTTTGTTCATCCTTTACAAGACCAAGAACATCATAACAACAACAAAAAAGAACCAGTTAAAATGTTTCCAGTAGTGGTAACGCAGATAAAAACACATATAAAGTTGGTTTTTTTGTTTTCCCAATTGGTGTTTATTCTGTTTCTTGGTGCTGAACCCATACTCTCACCTCTTCAGTGGTAATTAGAGGCAAACCACAGCAGGTTAGAGAAGACTAGGGGTGGTTAGAACCAACATCCATTGATTCCTCTCATTCCCAAGCAGATCTTTCTCTCTTCACAGGGCAAAACCAGCTGCAGCTTTACCCCCGTTACAAATGGCAAATTAAGCACAGGTGAAAGCTCCACAAAACAGAAGGTATCTAAGCACAAGCAACATTTAAAAAAACAACAGCTCTCAACCTCTTGCTGATTTGACCGTTTGTTCACATCTCAAACTTCATTTGTCTTCTCAAAGAAAATATAATACGTGCACCCCAAATTCCACATAATTGGCATTTCTATTAAAAAAACAGACATGCAAACACTTTCACGTTCCTCATTTTAACTTGTTTTATTTCCAGTGCCTCCAGTTGACTCCTGTTTTCACAGAACCCATGGCCGCCTGACACTCCTGGCCTCAGGCTGGGCCTGGGAAAATCCACTGCTAATTCCTCCTTTCCTTTCTATTTTTAATGCAGACCTACAATTGTTCAGATGCAGACTCTGAAATGTAAATTTTTCAGCTCCTGAGATGCTCTGGAGAATCTTAGCTATTTTGGACTTACATGGACCAGCCAAAAGATGATGGGAAACCAGAGAATTCTTTTTGTGTACAGGTAGTCTTACTGCCATCATGTCAACTCAAACTTTTCCAGCGGGGGAACAAAATGCCAAACAAACATAGCATTGCTATCATTGTTCCTTATTGCCAAGCTCTAAGCTCCAGCCCTCCCCAGCTTAACAGAGAGGTGACACACAGCCCTGTTCTTCCAAATTCCCCTGGTGTTCAACACCCTCTGCATTTTTCCCTCCTTAAGACCAGCTGTCCTAAACTCCTTCCTCCTCTACTGGCTTATCTACTGCCTCTACTAGCTGCCTTATCACGCTGGCCATTCCATGAATGCACTGCCATTCTTGATGGCACCCTTCCAGCATCACCAGCAGGATGGTGAGCCCAGGTGCCTTGCAGGCACAGCCCCTGTTGACAGCACCACTAAATGACAGCTATGCGGTCACAATTTGCAACTGTAAACAGCAAAGCCCACATTAGAAATGATGACACCCATGCAATTACAGGCTTTAGTGATGCTCCAGTGAGCACTGAGGCAGCCCTGAGGTCCTGTCCCGGCATGTGCTGGTTTGGTGGCAAACATGGGATGGGTTCCTGGGGGCCAGGACATTACAGCCGTTTAATCCAGAAACCAGGTTGGGTTACAGAGCACGCATGAAATAAATACACTCAAACTGGAAGAGCATTTGACCTAGCCTGACAGCCTTGGCTTCTGTTCGTTAAGCAAACAAACCTCAGAGGCTGCCTTACAAGCCCCCACCTGTTTCTTCTTAGTCCCTGCTTTCAGGGCTTTGTGCTCCTGTTTGAAACCAGCCACTCGCACCCCCGCACTGCCCTGACCCTATGGGAAGCTTCCTTGGGGGGCAATGGGAGGGGAGGGGGAAACTGGAAACAGAAATGGCTCTCTGGTGAAGCATGTAGATCAGAGCCATGTTTTCTTTTCCAGAGAGGTGCCTCAAGTGGCATCTCTAAACCCCTGCCATAGACACCTCAATAGGGATCCAGCTTTTCAGATGTGTCATTGATCCAACCCAAATTTGACAGGAGATCAGGCCCATGTCTAAAATCTGGCATCTGTAGCTGTATGCTTTCCAGTCAAATGAACTCGGAATTTAAAAAAAAAAAAAAAAAAAGGTAAAATCCAGTGATTCAAAAAAAAAGTTTTATTAAAAAGGAAAACCTTTTTTAAAAATAGATAATCGCAAAAAAAAAAATTAATTAAGGACGGTGTGGATTGAGTGCCTCCATAAAAAAAAAAAAAGCAACTACTCTAATCTTCCAGGATTTAGGATAATAAGCCTGTAATCATTTTTGTTTTGTGAAGGCACTCGGGGCAGGGCTGGCTGGAGGCTCCCAGAAGCTGCTCTCCTCCAGCAGCTCCAACAGCCATCCATACCAGAACTGACCGTCCCAGCCCAGGAGACACACACATCCCCAGCCATCCTGCTCACAGCAACACCCACAGACCAGGGCAGGGACCAGAGAGCAAAGGGGCACCAGTACCATATCTGCCTTGTCTGCAAGGTGCTCTGAGATAGTGGAGGCATAATCCTATGGAAGTATTTTTATTACTGGAACGAGAAGATATAAGGATGGAGGCACTCAATCCACACCGTCCAGGAGCACAGCATTCATTTTTAAGCAATGTACAGTCTGCTTTCTGTTCAATGCTAAACTTTTCTCACTGCTCTGTGCTGCACAGAACTTATAAATTCAATGACAGATTAATCTTAGCAGCGAGACATTTGGCATGAAAAAAGGTTTCACAGGGAGCCTGCATTTTCCTGTAAAGAGCATGCATTTAGGAGCAACTGTACGTAGAAAGACCCCGTGCACTTATTCAAGCACCAGTCCCTGCCCTCCATCATTACTCAGAATTAGAAACCCAAAATGGATTACTCAGATTGTTCCTAAGGTTTGTAGCTTTCTCTGCAGGAGAAGGGTTGGGTAATTGATTTTGACACTAATACCGGCACTATTCATATGCCCTGTAATATAATTCTGCAGCAGCACTAAAAAGGCAGCCATCTGAGATCTGAACAAGGAAAGTGCTATATGATTTGCCCTGGACAACCCCAGCTATTTTAACAGCTGCGTTGTATATTAAAAGGGAGAAATCCCAGCAGAATTAAAAACAACAAAGTCACATTTGCCTTTGAGGGAAAACCAGGAGCCATAAACTTTCCTAATAAAACAATCCCTCCCGCTAAGCACTTGAGTAATAGTCGAAAGCACTGTCCTAAAATGCCTGTCTCTTGCAGAGCATCAGCCTGAAAAGAGCTGCTAGCAACTTTGGGAACAAACAGATCCTCATCAGACATACCCCCACCCCGCACATCCTTTTCTTGAAAAGACATTTCCTTCTTTGGGATTCCTCTTTCAGCAGGAACTCCCCTCTTCCTCCCCTGGACAGAGCAGAAAGCAGACATCTCCCCCAGAGGGCTTTTCTCTCAAATGCCAATCGCCGATTTTAGCCATATCTCCTCAAAGATTAGGCACCAGCGCAAGGGTGACCCTCATCACCACCCACAAAAGAACAGGGTTGGGACATGCCCACTGCTGACCCCCAGCACCGTGTCGACACCGCACAGCTGGGACAAAGCCCCACCACTGATGGCTCCTAGTGCGACCCATGGCAGCTGGGACAACCCCACCAAGCCCCGTCCTTGAGCGCCAGCAGGTTCTGCCCACCACCCCTACATTGACACAATGCAGCATTTGGCAGCTTCTCCTGGTAGCTTTTTAGTTAGGATAAACAAAGAGGTGGTCCCATCAGCTTTTCCTTTGCAGGGAACTGTATTCTGAAGCTAAAGCCTTCTGAATACATGACCTGCTTATGAAATTCAGCACGAGCCAACCGTTTTAAATGCTGCCTTAATACAGTGGCTGCTGTGATCTTTTTCAGTCTCCCAGGGTTTGAGCCAAATTATGTTCTCAGTTACACGGAAGTAGCAGCAGTTAACCCAGTGAAGTCATAGGCTCTATACCAGAGCAAAACCTGACCCCTCTATTTTCTTTTATATCAGCAACAGCTTCAAATTACTAAAGAACATTTACTCTGCTCACATGCCTCTACTCAGTGCTGTGACTATCCAAACATGCTGCCTGGTGCTGAAGGATCTACAAAGTGTTCACAGAACAGCAATCTCAGGTAGAAGTAGAACAAATGTTAATTCAGAACTAATCAGTTTTGGGCTCCTCCAGGTTTGGTAACACCTGGAAATTAGTACTGTGTGCTGGGAGGGAGGAGAAACATGTGAAGTGATGGCTATCTGCTTGGAAGCCCCTGCTGTCCCCAGTATGGATGCCCCACCCCTGAAGTGTTCAAGGCCAGGTTGGATGAGACCCTGGACAGCCTGAGCTGGTGCCTGATTTAGTGGTTGGCAGCACTGTCCGCAGCAAGGGGTTGGAACTGGATGATTTTTGAGACCTCTTCCACCCCCAGCCATTCTGTAATTCTACGATACTTCCAATCTTCAGAAGGCTTCTCTGGGAGCGGCTACGGGGAGGGTAGAAAGGAAGCAAAGATGTTGACTGAAGTGACATTAAGAGGGGACAGTGCAGCTGAGGGCTTCTCTTTTTCTATCTCCTTCCCCAGCTACTACTTAGCGGACAGCAATACAAGAAGGAAGAAAGGAAGGAGCTTTCAGCAAAGGGAATAGAAAGAAAAACAAGTTCTGCCAGCCCTCCTTCAAATGGAGGACTGGCCAGACAGCTGGTGGCTCATAAGGCTTCACCAAGCGGTTCCAGCCCGTGGCAAAAATCACATTACTCTAAAAACCATGTGTGGGGAAAGGGGTATTGGGGGGTGACCAAAAAAAAAAAAAAAAAAAAAAAACAAACACCCAAAATCCTAACCAGGAGAGCTGGCAACACTGCAGTAGTTATACAGGCTCTGGAATGTACAAAGACTGAAATCAGAGACTTAGCATCTCTTTTGAACTTCAAAAACAACATGTCTCTTCAAATCACTCTGTTAATTGGCTTTAAATGAGAGTTCTAAGTTTAATGAACAAGTCTTACACGTACGGCATGAAACAGATATGCTTCTAGATGAACTTCCTGATCAACACCATCTGTCTTTTCCATATGGCAACGGCAAAGCAAAAG